TCAGTGTTCTTGGCATTTTCCTTAAGCGTAGAGATACTCCCATCATCAAGGCCAACAACCGGGACCTCACTTATACTCTCCTCATCGCCCTTCTGCTCTGCTTTCTCTCTTCCTTGTTATTCCTTGGTCAACCAGGGAAAGTAACCTGCCTTCTGCGGCAACCAGCATTTGGCATCATCTTCTCAGCTGCTGTTTCTTGTGTGTTAGCTAAAACTATTACTGTGGTTGTAGCTTTCATGGTGACCAAGCCGGGTTCTCCAATGAGAAAATGGGTGGGGAAAAGATTGGCCCTTTCCATTGTCCTTTCTGGTTCTGTTCTTCAAGCAGCTCTTTGCACCCTGTGGTTGGCAACCTTTCCTCCATTCCCTGACTTAGACGTGCACTCCCTTATGGAAAACATGATTTTGCAATGCAATGAAGGCTCCATCTTCATGTTCTATTGTGTCTTGGGCTACCTGGGTTTCTTGGCTATTGCCAGCTTCATTGTGGCATTCCTTGCTCGAAATTTACCTGACAGCTTTAATGAAGCCAAGTTTATTACTTTCAGCATGTTGGCCTTCTGCAGCGTGTGGGTCTCCTTTGTTCCAGCCTATTTGAGCACCAGAGGAAAAGCCATGGTGGCTGTGGAGATCTTCTCCATCATGTCCTCCAGTGCTGCCTTACTGGGATGTATCTTTTTCCCAAAATGCTTCATCATTGTGCTGAAGCCAGAACTAAATAGCAGGCACCAAGTAATCAAACGGAGTAATTAATTTATGTCTACATTATCATTTTTTTCTGAATGAAAAAGGAAGGATATTAGCAAACAAAAATTAAAGACTTGCCCTTTTCAATGTTCCTTCCTGTTTTCCTTTCCAACCTACAATTGTACTATGTGGTTGGTCACCTCTCCTCCATTTTAATTTGATGTAAGCCACCCAGAGTCCCCAATTGTGGGGAGATGGGCAGGGACAAGTTTACTAAATAAATAAATAAATTTCCTGAATTATATGTGCCCTCATTTACTGTAGAAGTGATCCTACAATGAAATGAAGGTCATTTTTCATGTTTTCCTCTGTCCTGGTCTAAATGGGCCTCATGGCCTTCACAAGCTTCATCGTGCCTTTTTTTGCCTATAAATTACCTGGCATCTTCAATGAAGCCAGGTTCATCACTTTCAACAGGTTGGTCTTTTGCAGTGTGTGGGTCTCCTTTGTGTCAGCCTATCGGAGTACAAAAGGAAAATGCATGGTGGCTGTGGAGATCTTCTCCATTTTGGCCTCCAATGCTGCATTACCTGGGTATATCTTATTTCCTTAAATGTTTCATCACTGTGCTGGGACCTGAGCTAAACAACAGGGAGAAATTAATAAAAAGAATGATTATTTAATGCATTTTTCTCACCATATTGCCACATTCATACACTAAATACATTAGCCCCCAGGAGTATTTGTTCTTCAATTCAAATCATTATGGCATGAAGGATGTATGTATGTCATATATCTGAAACATGTTTTTTTCTGAAATATAGCCCATTTGCTATGCCATTCTGTTTCTACTCTATCAAATCTGATCTTAATAAAAATTAAATAAAAGGGAAATGCATTATTATTACTGTTGTTTATTTATTATTGCCTGATCTACTTTTTGGGATGTCTCCTAATGTTTACTAAAAGGAGAAGTGAAACCCTTACATTGTAAACTGTTGTGTGCAAACATTTGTCAGGAACACCAAGATCAAAATACCCCACAAATATCTTTCTGGAGGGTGGGGGAAATCTTGACCTTATTTCTACCTCTTGCAACCCCTGTTCACTAGTTTATAAATGAAACAACAAAACAGCAATAACATTTAATTAAAATCCAAGTAATCAGGTTGGAACCTGCCATATCATGGTTGAGAATGAGTTGTATAAGTCCAGTGTTGTAATGATATCTTTTATCCACCTCTTTATTTTCCAAGCTAAAAATAATGTTTAATATATCTTGATATGTCATAGAACACGTGTGTGAGTGCATACATGTCAGTCTTAGCTAGAAGAGAATTATTTTTCTTTCCCTGAATAAGACTCACATGTAACATTTTAAAGGGCCACTGAAACCCAGTTTACGTCTGCCTGTTGACATAGAAGCTAACTTGTTGACTTTGGGCTGGTCACTTTCCCTTTGTCTAAGATAAATCACACAATTATTGTTGTGGGAAACAAATTAGAAGTACCTGGAAATTAGGCAGGCTAGAAAAGAAAGAGATGAATGTGTGAATATGTACTTGATTGGGTAGAATAAGAAGGTCCTTCAACCCAGAGTTTGAAACTAGTAGTAGTTAAGGGAAGACTAGCAGATATTAAGAGAAGCAAAGAAATTGTTCAGTTGATTTGGTGGATCATCTCTTAGTCTTTTTCTTTAGGCCTCAGACAATGAGGAGGGGCTTCAGCTAATGATCTAACTGGGTAGACATAGGGACACTCAGAGCCACAATCTTTAAATTGAGACTTGGAAATCCACAAGCAATGATTGCAGCTAAAATGTTACATGTGCCATGTGAACTGGCTGTGTTGTCAGATTCTATCCAACAGAACATTCACGTGATTTATTATGTGTTTAAAAGAAAATAATAAAATAATGTATAACCCACTCCTTCCAAATGCCTCAGGGACTGTTTACTTGAACTACTCTGAATATGTAGATTTGTAGGTTAAGTCATTCTGTTTATCCTACACACAGGAGAGGTCCACGTTCTGCTTTTTTCCCACCCTAAGAAATATACCCTGTGAAGTTGTGCTTGGTTCCCATACTTCTTTCTGAGTGTCAACCCAAGAAACATCTCTTTCTCTATGCATTTCTTTTTAAATTATATTTAGCATCATCTTTTTAAGTCATAGGAGCTCTCTGTCTCTCTCTCTCTGTCTCTCTCTCTCTCACACACACACACACACAGTTTATTGCTAGTAAGGCTTGTATATTTTGCATTACTGATGCAGATTGAACTTTAATCTTTAGAATGATAAATATGATCTTCTTGAGGTGACATTTGCTTAACCATCATGTTATTTTGTTTTAATAGCATACATATGTGTACACACACATGACTCTGATTTATGAAATTTATAAAATTTATCATGCTTCAGTTCAAATCAATCCTCCTCCTCCTCCTCCTCCTCCTCCTCCATAAAGTTCCTGAGGCTGATCCAATAACCCGATACTTCCAGCCCGACAATAATGATCTCCATCTACCAGCTCCCACCACACCAGAGTACTGTACTGGATTCTCTTTTTTTTTTTACTTTATTGTTTAAAAATAGCCAATGAATACATATAAGATATTGCATGATCCCTCCAAATTACCAGTGACATATGACAATATATGGTCATATATCTGATGGTCATATCTGGCCAAAAAGCATCCATTTAAATAAATGCAAAATGTTGATAATCTTCTCCCCATCAATCACTACAGAGGCCAAGGTAGTTCTTAATATCTTTAAGGACTTTTCCTTTGTGTTTATAAGACTAGATGTTATATTTCTAAACATGCATTAGGCCATGATCATATACCATTTTCAGGAAAAATCTGTAAAAATAAAGGCCAGTGCTTTAGTTTTCAGCTTGCCAGATCCTAATATATTACTTTTTAGATTAGATAAAACTTATGTGAAAATTAATGAAGAGTAAAACACAATGCATCTTGAGGGCATTTCTAAAAGCAGAAATGATAAGGTGGAAACAGAACTGGGAAGAGATTTGAAACCACAATCTAAGAATGAGGCAGGAGAATCACACATGATTTTTTACAGTTTAATAAAAAAGACTTTAGTAGATCAGGAGGTTTTCATGGGTAGAATCTGATGTGATGTGTGAAAGCTGAACTGAGACCCAGAATGCATGAACATTGCACTGAACATTTGTTTCTAAGTAAAAATTAAGATATTGATATTAATCTTGAAAGATATTCCTCATTTATTGGAAGACAACAATGATATAGATTTTCTATTGTTGTCTGGACACCTTCTTACAAGAAAGTGATTCAAAGAAAAGATTGGGAGATGAATTCCACACAACACATGAACATTGTTTTATTTGCAGGATTCAAATACAACTGGAATACTGTGACTTAGACAGTTCTCAGGTGCTTCTTCTCCAGACTGCTCTGATATCCAATCCATGTAACTTCCACCCCAATATAAATTGCCTTTATTTAAATTTCAGCAAATT